CAGAGATCTGTTCAAGAAAATTGGAGATCTTAAAGGAATATTTTGTGCAAAGATGGACATGATAAAGGACAAAAATGGTAGGGACCTCACAGAATCAGAAGATATCAAGAGGTGGCAAAAATACACAGAGGAACTATACCAGAAAGATCTGGATGTCCCAGAAAACCCAGATAGTGTGGTTGCTGACCTTGAGCCAGATATCATGGAGAATGAAGTCAAGTGGGCCTTAGAAAGCTTGGCTAACAACAAAGCCAGTGGAGGTGATGGCATTCCAGTTGAACTATTTAAAATCTTAAAAGATGACGCTGTTAAGGTGCTACTCTCAATATGCCAGCAAGTTCAGCAGTGGCCAGAGGATTGGAAAAGATCAGTCTATATCTCAATCCCAAAGAAGGGCAATGCCAAAGAATGTTCCAACTACCGTACAATTGCACTCATTTCACACGCTAGCAAGGTTATGCTCAAAATCCTACAAGGAAGGCTTCAACAGCACGTGGATCGAGAACTCCCAGAAGTACAAGCTGGATTTCGAAGGGACAGAGGAACTAGAGACCAAATTGCTAACTTGCACTGGATTATGGAGAAAGCCAGAGAGTTCCATAAAAACATCTACTTCTGCTTCTTTGATTATGCAAAAGCCTTTGACTTTGTGGACCACAGCAAACTATGGCAAGTCCTTAAAGAAATGGAAGTGCCTGACCACCTTATCTATCTCCAGAGAAATCTGTATGTGGAACAGGAAGCAACCGTTAGAACTGGATATGGAATAACTGACTGGTTCAAAATTGGGAAAGGAGTACGATAAGACTGTATATTGTCCCCCTGCTTATTTCACTTATGTGCAGAATACATCATGCGAAAGGCAGGACTGTAGGAATCCCAAGCCAGAATTAAGATTGCCGGAAGAAAATTCAACAACCTCAGATATGCAGATGATACCACTGTGATGGGAGAAAGTGAGGAGGAATTAGAGAACCTCTTAATTAGGGTGAAAGAGGAGAGCACAAAAATGGTCTGAAGTTCAATATAAAAAAAAACCTAAGATCATGGCCACTGCCCCCGTCACCTCCTGGCAAACAGAAGGGGAAGATATGGAGGCAGTGATAGATTTTACTTTCTTGGGCTCCATGATCACTGCAAATGGTGACAGCAGCCACGAAATTAAAAGACACCTGCTTCTTGGGAGTTAAGTGATGACAAATCTAAACAGCATCTTAAAAAGCAGAGATATCATCTTGTTGACAAAGGTCCACATAGTCAAAGCCATGGTTTTTCCAGTAGCAATGTATGGAAGTGAGAGCTGGACTATAAAGAAGGCTGACTGCCGAAGAATGAATGCTTTTGAATTATGGTGCTGGAGGAGACTCTTGAGAGTCCCCTGGACTGCAAGGAGATCAAACCTATCCATTCTGAAGGAAATGAACTCAGTGGAAGGACAGATCCTGAAGCTGAGGCTCCAGTACTTTGGCCATCTCATGAGAAGAGAAGACTCCCTGGAAAAGACCATGATGTTGGGAAAGAGTAAAGGCAAAAGGAGAAGGGGACCACAGGGGATGAGATGGTTGGACAGTGTCACCAAAGCTACCAACATGAATTTGACACAACTTCAGGAGGCAGTGGAACACAGGAGGGCCTGGCATGCTCTGGTCCATAGGGTCACGAAGTGTCGGACACGACTTAACGACTAAACAACAACAACTGTAGCCCCCACAGCCCCACATTTGTTCCATAGGGCCCTCTAGAACAGGACAGCTGCAAAGAGAAATAAGACATGTCTGGAAATCGTTTCTCTGTTCATCTCCTAATTTGTGGGATCTGAGAGTCAGAAGAATAGAATACACACGACTTAACGACTAAACAACAACAACTGTAGCCCCCACAGCCCCACATTTGTTCCATGGGGCCCTCTAGATCAGGACAGTTGCAAAGAGAAATAAGACATGTGGGGAAATCGTTTCTCTGTCCATCTCCTAATTCATGGGATCTGAGAGTCAGAAGAATAGAATACGGAAGATTCTAAGCTTCCTGCGCTTTGTGCTTTGTTTTAATTATGTTTGACAATACCTAATATCTTCCCCACAGCCCCACATTTGTTCCATGGGGCCCTCTAGATCAGGACAGTTGCAAAGAGAAATAAGACATGTGGGGAAATCGTTTCTCTGTCCATCTCCTAATTCATGGGATCTGAGAGTCAGAAGAATAGAATACGGAAGATTCTAAGCTTCCTGCGCTTTGTGCTTTGTTTTAATTATGTTTGACAATACCTAATATCTTCAAGAACTTTCTAAATAAAACAGGATGACAAGTTTCATCTCCAGTGATAACTAGCTGGAAAACATAATTCCAGAAAACTCACAAGAAGGACATGATGAGAACAGCAGGACCCACCCACTGGTAGGTCACTGCCACTGGTACTAAGCCACTGTACTAAGTGGTACACTTAGTACCAGTAGCTAAGTACTTAGTACCAGTGGCTGGGGACCTCAGTCACTGGTACTAAGAGGCATACTGCCTCTTACCTTGGAGATAATGTTTCTAAGCAGGGGAAGTGCTTTCGTTTTCACCTTTCAGGGGAGGAACAAAGACACTGGGCCATTTTCCTCTTTTGTGCAAAATCTGACCCATCAGGAGGTGGCAAATGTAAGCTTCCAAACCCTTTCAGTGCTCTGTCTGGACATCTGGGACAGCGCAACATCCTGCAATGGTCCTTCGCTATCCGTTTTTCGTGCATCAGCTTCAGTTACCCAGCTGCCACGATTGAGCCTAAGCAGGAATTTCTGGGGTATGTGCAGGTTTCTGGCAGCACTCTCTCTCTCTCTCTCTCTCTTTGCCTGCTTCATGCTGATCACGGGAGGAATAGAAGTCATTGCAACATCCTGCAATGGCCCTTCGCTATCCCTTTTTCGTGCATCAGCTTCAGTTACCCAACTGCCACGACTGAGCCTAAGTAGGAATTTCTGGCAGCACTCTCTCTCCCTCTTTTTGCCTGCTTCATGCTGATCACGGGAGGAATAGAAGTCATTGATATTCAATACACTGTGATTCAGCTGTTTTGACTTTTTGATTCCACTTCGCTGGTTATTTTATTTCTCTTCAATCTGGCTGCTTCACCTTTAGCTTATTCCAATTTGGTGGACTGGCTTACATTCTGACACTTGATCAGCACAGTGCAGGACTGAGATGCAATTGCCAAAAAAGATTTCAGGAGCACCTCATTTCAGTGGGACTTGGGGGGGAGGGGCTTTCAGGAACTATTTTCTTGGTGGATGAAGTGTGACACCACATCTATAGGCTGAACAGCCATTATGCATTTTATAGACGCAATTGCCAGGTTTCAGGAGCACCTCATTTCAGTGGGACTGGCCCAAAAAAGGTACATCATGATTGGGAGGGAGGGGCTTTCAGGAACTATTTTCTTGGTGGATGAAGTGTGACACCACATCTGTAGGCTGAACAGCCATTATGCATTTTATAGACTAATCTCAATCCATCACAAACCCAAGTAAGGAATCAGCTATGCAAACACCAGATGGGATTCCATATATTTGACAACATCCTCTAGTTGTTCCTTTCTGGAACAAACCAGTTCTTGCAAACACCAGATGGGTTTCCCTATATTTAACAACATCCTCCAGTTGTTCCTTTCTGGAACAAACCAGTTCTAGAAACTGGTTTCCAGCATGCAGTGGTGCTCAAGTCTCCACTTTTTCTGTGGTTAGCTTTGCTAAACCTCCCCATTGCAGGCACAGTCACCAACAAAAAGTTAAGCCCTTCAACCATTTCTCGCCCAGCACCTTCATCCTGGGTGGGAAGGCAAAATATTGAAATCATAAATAGTATGATGATAATATCCTCCCTGAACTTGTTTAGTCCTATTTTACAGCTGTCAGAGTTGGTGGCTATCACAATATCCTAAGAACATAAGGAAATAAAAGACAATGGTCAGTATCCTGTTCAATATTTATGCATGTGTGGCACTCCGGCTGGAGAAGCTGCCAAAGTGGTCTGATCCAGTGCCAGTCACATGCAACCAGGCACACAACTGGCACCTCATCAGATTGCTGTGGGCACCTCCTACAATTCCGATTCCATGAAGAGCACATATTGAACAGGAGAGTAGCCAACAGACAAAAGCACACACAAAAATTTCATGTTGAACCAATGAAATGTTATAATAATTTAAAAATTATTAATATTTCTTGGATACCAAGTGGGGTGTGTTGCACAGACCAGTGGTTCCCAACTTTGAGTAAACCAAGGTGTTCTTGGACTGCAATTCCCAGAGGCCTCTGCTGCCTGGGGTTTCTGGAAACTGCAGGCCAATAACACTTGGCTTACCCAAGGTTGGGCACCACTGGAATAGAGTGATGGTCTAGGATTCAGGGGACCTGGGCTCGTATCCCCAGTTGGCCACAAACTCACTGGGGTGTCTATGGCACTAATAAAACTGCTCTTTAAATATCTCACTTACTTTGAAAACCCACGTACGGTTGCTGTAAGCTGGATCCGACTTGATGGCACATAACCCAATATTAATTAATATTTACTGAGTTACTTTAGCAGTGGTGTATATTATTATAACTCGCAAAGTAAGGCAAACTCTGGAATGTTTTGTCCTTACTATTTACTTTGGCTAATCTGGTTCTTTCAGGAGGTACTGAACTCCAGAAAATATCTTACCTTTAGCATCAATTCGCAACTGTAACTATCTTCCTGAAGAACATAAAATAATCTTGGTGAATCTTGCATACACTAATAAAAATCTAGAATGTTTTGTTAGATCATTAACTTTGCACATATAGGTCACTTCCCATGATGAGCTGCACCAATGACACTGTCCTTTTTTCCTTCCTGATTAAGGATTTATTTTCTTCGAAAGAAAGAAAGAAAGAAAGAAAGAAAGAAAGAAAGAAAGACTGAGAGTGACTAAGAGCTATTAAGAGAGTGAAAGAGGTTGTACAAGAGGAGAAGATGGTGGGGCTCCAGTATCTTTAATAGCTATCTGGCAGAGATAATTGCATCTCCAGCAGCTTGACATGTAGTAGTGAAAGAAAACTGGTATCCACTCTGCCCTCTCTAATCTCCCTAATGTTCCCTTTGCTTTGGCAACTAAAGTTTCAGAGCCCTGTTTAAGCAATCTAGTAAAGAAATGAAAAGCAAGGAAGCATAGCGTTTTCAAAAAACGTAACCACGAAGAGACTGAGATTCAAGATAGGTCCTGGATCAGAAGAGAATCAAGTCTCCTCCTGACACATATATGTTTACTGTAGTTATTGTCATGGACAACACTGGCATCTTGTTGTTTCTCTCTGCTGAGGGGAAAGGTAGGTTGGGAGAAGTCTCAGACCTGACACATGCGAGCAAAGCCCTCCAAATCATCTCAGCACTCTGCTTAAAAAAAATTTAAAATAAAAAAAGTCTTTCCAAATATTAACCTATTTTGTCCAAAAGAGCACAGCTTGTTCAGTTGGAGTGGCTCTCCTAAAACATAACTACCACGCTGAGCTTTCTCAGCACTACTGGAAATTGTGCCATGGGTATGGATCTGGGCTAAGGTCTTGTGAAATATACAGTCTTCCTGCTTGGACTCTTAAATTTTGTCTGTCTGCTATGGTTAAAGTCTATAACAAACCTTCCCTTTAGTTGCATGACTTTTTAAAAGTCCCTTGTTTACTTATATGTTACTTTAATATACCAGTCTTCCAATGACTTCATAACATGGATTTGTCCACACAACAATTCTGTGAGGTAGGTTAGGTTTCAAAATAATGACTTTGCCTGAGGCACTCAATCAGAACAACATGTGGAGAGTATCTTTATTAGCTGAGGATAAGGAATGCCTCCCTCTATTTTCCCAGAAACTAGCAGAGCAATGCCTCCTTTACTGTTACTATGTTAGATCTGAGGTTTATCCAAAAATCCTATTACTTTAGGATTAGTGCTGCATAAAGCATTATGTAACGGGTCTTCTACCTCATTACAGTAAATAGTAACCACTCAGTATACTGTGTTATCTAATCAGAAAAAAATAAGTTCCATAAAAAAGGCTCACATAGCTACATTTCTACCTTTGTTATTCTTTTATCAGTTTAAATTCAGTTTACAATGGCATTGTTTCATTTTGCCTTCCTCTGGAGAGCCAGCTGAAATATCTTCAAGGATCTGTAGCAGAGAGAGAGAGAGAGAGAGAGAGAGAGAGAGAGAGAGAGAGAGAGAGAGAGTTCCTATCTAAAGACCTCTCCCGCCCCATTAATAAATGTGTTATTTGTCAATTTCATTAATTTTTCTCCTTCTAAACACACATCATGAATGTTAAATCCACATGACAAGATATGGCTTTGAAGGGAGACACCTGTGGCAGCCATACATGCTGTGCATGAATTTAAATGATGTGCTTGGTTTACACATAAAAGGCCATTCCAGGCCCTCCTGGCATCCTTAAAAAGTTCTGCCCTTGTCTTAAGTACTTAAAAAAAAGCCTCCTGAAAAAAATAATCACCTGGCCGTCTCCCTCCACTCGCCATCCTCTCCTTCACGCCAGCAGAGTTCATCAAGCTCTGTGAACAGGTCATGTGGGATGTGCTCCTCATCATCATCTTCTGTTCCAAGAATGAACTGTACCCTCTGTGAAGGTGTGTCTACAAGAAGGAGGAGAAAAAAAGAACAGGTAAAGAAATCCAATTGAACTCAACAAGGAGAAAGTAGAAGAACAGCCAAGCAGCCAGGCTAGCAATTCAGTAAGAACTGCTTACATAAAACCTTTGAGGGAATTTGGTGTCAGCGTTGCTGGTTGTGGCTCTCTTACTTGGCACCAAAAAAGACACACAGAGCACAAATGCAGTAAGATGATCTGGCTATCCATTACCTATAAAATGAACATTTACAAGCAAGGGGTATGGTATGAAGGGGCGGGGGAAGAGTATACCTTGTCAACCTAGTCATACATTAATGCATGGTTCTTTAACAGCACTCTACAAGAAAAGTTGATATATTTGTTACTTGGTAAGTTCCTTTCACAAGACCTGAGTGGTTTACGTATCAGAGGCTGGGAGGCTGGTTCCTCGCTCTGTCTCCTTGACAGGGTTTGGGCTTGATGATCCATAGGATCCCTTCCAGTTCTGCAGTTCTAAGATGATGATGATGATTATGAAATGAAAGAATTGTGTATATAATGACTCACCCCATATATCTTTGTTAATTTGCCTTCAAGATGTACTTATGGTTTAGACTAATCCTAAACCATCTGGTATGTCTGATTCTTTACTGGTTCCTGAAAACACCATTCCTACTGGCAACATAACACATGAGTTGTCAGCAGGAAAAGACCGTTTATCTGGGTCTCCCAATGAAATCTGTGTGGCATCTACAAGCTAGTTTTCACAGAAGTAGCTGCATTAATCCGTTCCAGCATGTATAATAAAAATGTTAAAAAAGGAGTTGTGAGATCTTAGTCTGACAGATTGATTGCAGGGTGAACTTTCATGGATTACAAGCTACTTCCTCAGACACAAGGAGCATGAAAGGCAGGCCACGGGTTTATACACACAAAATATAGAGTAGAGTCGTGGGACTCATAGGAATGTGGGGAGAAAGGATATCACATTAGTAATGGATTTTCAAAATGAAAGTGACATTGCTAAAACTGACAATGCCAGTCAAAATGCTAGCCAGGCATTCTTTTGTTAGCAAGCAAATGGTTTTTAGGAGGTCTGCTGAGGTTAGGTCATGAAAAAGAACTATTTAGCTATAGCTACAGCTAAGACTCTGGATGAATCCAAGTGCTAATATACACAGCGTGCCAAGAATCCTTGGCCCTCGTTTAATCCTTCTGATGTATATTAGAATCCATGAATATAGGCTGCTTCAGCTGTCTCCATCCCCCACTTCCCTCTTTCTAATCTTGCTTTATAATTCCTTTTCTTCCACAACAATTTAGTCTGAGGTCTGTCACAGAGAGTCCTGGGAGGTTGAAGTGTTCTGAAATTGGTTACTTTATGTTGCCATTTCTGGTGTCAGATTTATATTAATTTATTCTCTTCCACGGAGACTGCCCTGTTTGCCTTATGTACAATGCAGAGGAGCACTGCTGGCGGCATAGACTGCATTAGCAGATGAACAATTATAGAAATCCCCATATGTTGTGGGTGACACAGGAAATCCATAATGGTGTTGCCAGAATAGGTGTGAGGACCAGGCTGGCATATCAGTTTGTAGTAGGCCTTTGGTTCCTGTCTGCCTATCTGCTCTGTTGGGTGTCAACAGTCACTTAAGATCGGGGAAGGAGGCTGCCTTTAAATGGGTACAGGATGGGGACCCAAAGCTCAGGGGAGAGAGAGATACTATTGCCCAGAATAGCAGACCATCTGTTGGAAACTAGAGATGAGTACGAATAGTGTTCTCTCATTTTCTCTTTTGCTTCTCCCTTCTTGCAGGTTGCTTCTGGGAACTCATCTTGCCCTGCCAAATTGATTTTTCATCTGATTCAGTAGATAGTGTAGAAAATGCCTGTAGCAAGTTCATGAATGCTGAGCCTCTATATTGTGGATGCAAGCAGATGTGGTTATCAGAGGTTTTGGCCTCACTGATAGGTCTCAACAGAAACCATTTCCCCTATCTGTCTGAAAAGTGACAGGTCAGACGCCTTGAGTGTGTTCTAGAGAAAAGGACAATGTTAAGGAGTCGAAGGTAAGGTTTTGCTCCCCAAAACTTCAGGCCACACAACCTATCCAACCTCCTCCTCAACAACAACAAGAACAACAACAACAAAATTTGACACCAAATCGCACATTTGAATTTTTGTGGCACTACAGCACAATATATCTATTTAAAGAAAACATTTGTTCTGATTTTTTTCCAGATTTCCCCAAATTTCAACAGTAAACTGCAGACAGCCCTTTATCATAAGCAGCACATTTCACCATAGTTTTGGAGAACATAGCTTTGGGAAGGAGCTGGAGTGCAAGAACCACCTTGGTGTGGGAATAACTATACAGGACAATCTAATATACAGCATAAAGAGTTTCTGGAAGAGGTCTATTCAGTTAAGACAAACACATTAATGACTGTAATGTAGATCTTGCCATATCCCAACACTTGAGACCACATGTAGTCCACAGGCCATATGGTGTCCGCCTGTGATATATCAGGATACCTGAAAATATAATTCCTATAGATGGAATAAAAGGATGTTTTCAGGCGGCTGCAGACTGTCTTGAATTTCTCACTGAATCAGAGGCTAACAAAAACAAATTGGAACTACACTGCTGAATTTAATGAACTGGTTCCAAACCAGCAACCAAACATATGAAATGCTAATAAAGAAAAAACTAATGAATTGAATCTTGATTATAAAAAAATTAAGCAAAGTTAACAATGTTATGTTTTCCTGCCCACCACTACTGAACATGCGCTACATTTGTTTGGATCTTATTAACTCCTCCCACTTGCAAAATGGCTTCCACCAGCAGAAGAGGGAGGAGAGAAGGTCCTTGGTCCTCCTGAAGCCTACCAAAAGCTTCTGCCCTCTCCAGAATGCAGATAGGGACACCAGAAAGGGATGACAGCAGAAAAAATCCACTCATGGGATGTTGGACTGAGTCCTAGATTTCCTTGATTAGACATTTTTTCAACAGAGGGATAGATGTTGTATCAGTGGTTTTGCCATATTAGCAAGAGGCTGGACTAAATGAGTGGTTAAGTGCTTCCTATTTCTACACTTCTGTTATGTTAAAGACTAAGATAATAGCTATTCCTGCCAATGTGGGTGTTTTTTAGTATCTCAAGTGGTATTTTTGATACTAGGGAAGCATCTCTGCTATGTTATACTTGGTGGTATTAAGGGACAGAATGAACTCAAGCAATCCTCATAGTGCTCCCTGCTTTCAGTTATTTGGATAATGCAATGGGTTTTTAGTAATATTGTTATTATTCCTCCATCCCTGGCAGCTTTAAATCCTGTTTTGCATCTAAAAGGCAAATCTCCTTTGGCTTACACTTTAAATAGAATCTAGATTTCTGAAAAATGCAAGATAAAAGCTACTGCTTTTGCTCCATAGCTGAGAGACTTTTTCTGGAGTGCACAGAAAGGCCACACTGTCACTCAGGAGGAAGTCAGGAGAATTAGTAAAATTCAGCTGTGCCTGTGGCATGCTCTTAACAAACATGATGCTTTAGTATTGTTTTCTAGATATGACAATTTTCCAGGTAACAATGAGACAGAAGCCCGAGTCAGTCCATGCAGTTTGTTTGTTTTTAAGTAGGTAATACCAAATCTTCCACATAGAATTTCAAGTAGAATGGGGAGCAAAAAGGTATTGATAAATAAAATAAGCCCATGACAATAAGCATACATTTCTTGATGGAAGTATTTCCTTCCAAGTCATGGCTGCAAGAGGAACTATAAACAGATGAACTTTGTGGACAAGGGATGCTGTTCAGGAATAGACATGTCACTATTTCACCCCATGAATAAATCCTGTAACACTTCTGAAAATGGAAGCAATCCAAGGCTGTGCCGTAAATGGGCAAAGATTCAAGAGGCAATGGATGGGCAGATGAGCGATTTCAATTTTTCCAGTTTTGTATTGCCATACCTAGAGAAGAGAAATAGAAAACTCCCCATTCTACACAATAATCGTGCCTCTGGCCTCAGATTAAGTCAACACCGAGAGGGGCACCAGTTTATACTGCAATATAAATTTGTGGTGCTTTGTTGTTGCTGCTGTTTGTTTTAAGTCCTACACCTTAAAGCTGACAAATTATGGAATAAGTTATAATGAACTAGAGTCCATTTCAAAAGATAGATCAAGGCATATATCCACAAGTGTCAAGAAAAATGTCAGAAGTGTGATCGGAATGGAATGGAAGCCGCCCAGAGTAGACTTCCGTCTAGATGGGCGGGGTATAAATTAAATGAATGAATGAATGAATGAATGAATGAATGAATGAATGAATGAATGAATGAATGAATAATAAATGAGAAAAATAAAGATTGTGAATATTACATTAAAATTTAAGTTCCCTTCCCAGAACATGAACATCATAGCATTTGTATGTTATTCTATTTCTGTAATGGGACAGAAACCCATTAACCTAATTCAGTCTACAAATGATAGCGCTGACCTTCTTGTATCACCTTCCAAATTAAAAAGTTTCTGCCTGCTACTTAATTTGCACAGATGGCTTCAAAAGAAGCATTTGGAAAGAAGCAAACATCTTGTTAATATCACAGTATAAAATATTCTGTACTGTGGTTATGTTTTTTAAAATGAAAATGCTCAATTTGTATAGAATCCTTAGAAGCATATGCTAAATCAGACTGCGTGATTACATTTTGCATGCTATAAAATCCAACATCCACTGCCAAGTATATTTCTGTCTTATTAAGTGCTTTAACTCATGCCAGTCAGAACACTTGGCGATGTGTACATCCAGGGAAAATTTGTATATGACTGGCTATTTTCACAGACCATAAAAGATAGGGAAACCACAACATTCAGAAGGCAGAGTTCCTCAGTAAATTGATCCAAAGATCCTTAACATTGTTAATGTTCATAAAATTAGATATATTTTACCAGACCTTAGACTTTTACAATCATAGAATCACAGAATATTTGAGTTGTAAGGAGCCTACCGTGTT